CCCCCCCCCCCGAAAAAAAACCCCAAACAAACAAAACCACTACCAACATTAACAACAACAACAACAACAACAACAACAACAGCAACAAACTACAACCCCCTCCCCCCTCCAAAAAAAAACCCTTCGAAAATTTACTGTGCACAAAATACTGTCAGGGTACTCTCGAAGTATGACTGCAAAGTATATTCCAACTACTGCTCAACCTTTTTACAGCAAAAATCCACCACTTTCTCACTTTCCCCTGTCCATTTTTCTGCCTGTCTGGTTGGCTGGCTAGCCGTCTGCCTGTCTGTCTAGACTTCAGCAGTAAACATTTTTTCTATCGGCACTACCACCAGAGTAATTCTCCTTCATGTATTTCACCTCATTTGACCTTACCACGTCACCGATACCAGGACCTTAATAATGTCGAAACTGTCTAAGACGGCCACCTATTTGTCGAGGAGAAAAGTGGTTGTCTTAGACATTTGTGTCATTATAATGCTAACAAAACTACATGAGGGAAGAATGGGAAGTGGCTATTTGTACGGGAGATTGTCATTATATAGATCTACAGATAGCCGTCGATCAGAGCAGGATCGACTGTAATTGTGTTTTCCCCGGCTCATTCAAGCATGACGAAATAATTCCACAAGCTAGTACAATATACATGCATGACATGCACCTTTTTCTTATTTGCACTGGTGACTGCACCACCTTTGTGATTGCCACTAGTAGGTCTTACTTCTTTACTTTTTCTTTGTTGTTTCTGTCTGTCGGTCTGCCTTACTTTTCCCCTGCGCTAAGAGACCATTGTTGTATCATTGTGCTTCTCTTTACTCATACAAACAAAGCACTGGTGGTTGGACCGGATAAATGTCAAATAAAATGATTTACAGAAGAGCTGGGAAAACCCGGAATAATATCAAAAGGCTATCCCAGGATAGGGAAATGCGGAAAGTGATCGTGGCCTGTACCCTGATCCAGGTCGAGAAAAGCGATGATAATGATAACTGGTGTTGGTGTTTTCTTTTCTTGTGTTCTTTTCATCTGTCAAACTCGTGTTTATGTCGGCACTAAATGGCTGTCGTCCGTCGTCCTGTCGAAGGTCTC